CCCTCATCTAGATCATCTATAAAGATATTTAGTTTGTTTCCAGCCAGTCTATTGGTACAACTAAGTGGTGGCATGAAATGGAAGTGCAAGCCCTTCTCTTGATCACCAAAGTATTTCATGGTGATTCATCTATCAATAAGCCTATTGCTTGATACACCAAATGCATAAAGGTAAGCATAAAGAGATTTAGAAGCAATGCATGAGATAAGGAATCGGGAGAAAAAAGTTCAGGTTTTGGCTTTGCCTATGACTTTGCAGAGCATCCGAGGGAGGATGTTACATCTCTGTTATATCTATTTTTAAAGTAACTATCACATTAGATTATGGGACTTAATATTTGCCAAATGCTTAAGGATGGCAATTTTTATTGCCAAGTAGGCACAAGTAGGTGAGTGAGATTATTGTCAAGTTCCTTTGTGATTTTGAAAACTGTTTTTTAAGCTCTGCCAGAGGGATGATTTTTGTGTATTTGTTTAAACAAGTCAGAGCAGGAAGAAGTTAGGCTATACGAAGCAGCTTGGGGTTTTATGCAAAATTTAGATTGGTAATATTTGGAATGACCTTTCACTGAAATACTGTGGGAATTTTATATTTAGAATATAAAGTGTCTGGAACATTTTTCTACTGCTTAAAATACTGCCATTTCCTCTCCAGTCCAGCTCAGCTTGTTATTCTAAGCAAAGCAAATAAATCCGTCATTCTGGATTTTATTTTGCTTCCTTTACGAGTTTGCGTAAGGGAGTGCTTTGATTCTTTTCAGGTTATCAGGAGGTTACGAGAGAGAGGTGAGCCGATCAGACTGTTTGGAGAAACAGATTATGATGCTTTTCAACGTCTGAGGAAGATAGAAATTCTTGCACCTGAAGTGAACAAGGTAAGACTGACTAGCTGTTAGTTACTTATTTGTAGTGCGATAACCACTGAGGAGCACTATAAAAGTTACAGAAAATCAGTTTCAGTAACTGTTAATTATCAGGAGGGAGTGGTAGTACAGAGCAAAGAGAAATATCTGCTCTGTCTCATTTATTGCCTGAGAAAGTATGTTAAATGTCATAGTTTTGTACGCAGTTGTAATTCCTTACGCTAGACAGTTCAACTCTAGGCCCTTTTCAGTTGGAAAAAGGGCCTCCAGGTGTCAGTAGTACTCCAGCCTGTGCTGTTACCTGCTTTTTAACCAACAGAGAAGACAGTCGTTTACTGTTAAAACTAGCCTGTGCTTGTGACTATATGCATTTCTGAGAAGGTACAGGTAAGTAAGGGGAGGACTGCATCCTGTCTTTGTGGTGTGTAAATGATTTTTCAAACCCCTTGATTCCAGAGCTACAACTTGTTAGGGAAACTTCATTTTACCCCCCTTCCCTTTAAGTAGCCATCAATTCAAAAAATGTCTAAAAGATATATGCTGGTTAACTGATTTATTACTGTTGTCTTAAGAATTGAGTAGTTAAGCGAGGAGATGCAATTGGTGTTTGTTTTGCATTCACGATTAACCAAATTTTCAACCCAGCTAAGAGAGTGACAATTTGGATTTCCTTCCTTAATTTGTGGCAGACTGAATTGTTTGAAATGTCCTTGCTGGTGCTGCCCAGGAAAGGAGAGCCTTTTCTTGTTCAAGTCTTAAAAAAAGATAGACAGATCAAAAGGTTTAAAAAAAAAAAATTCTGCTAATGAAAGCTTCGCTTGCAGTGACATTGATGACAGTAGTAGGATTATTAGGAAATAGTGAGCTCATAAATAGGTTTGTGCTGGATTTTTGTGTGAATTTTGTATGTTTCACTCACTCCTGTTGCTATGTGTTGCTTAAAATGTGGACCAATTTGTGGTTGAGACATTTTTAGACAACTAAATGATTAATAGAAATGCTCCAGACAGTCAAGTATGATGATGGAAGAGGGGAGATAACTGTACATATGTATTCCCAGTGGAATGGCTGAATTATCTTGGGGTAGGAAATGTCATACTCCTTTATAGGGCTTTATATTTTGTGTCTCAAGATAAGAATGCAAGTCCTCTAACTGTGACTAAGTTGACCTTCTTCTATTTAAAAGCAGCTGTTAACTGTAGCATCAGTTTGAAACCATAGATTCATTTTTTTATCACCTATTCTAGAGTAGATTGATACAACATATAAAGCGTTCTGCTATGTTTAAATCATTGGTAGTAAGGAGAAGACGTAAATGTTTTATGTGATAGTACTGAAGGAGTGTTACTTACCTTATTTATAGCTTGCTTTCAGGGCAGATGTGAAGACTTGTAGGGCTGCTGATGGTTATGGTCTGTTTTCTGTTTGTTTTGGGATGGTTCAGTGCATTGCTTGGAGAAAATGTCTTGACGAAGGTCTTAGCAGTTGGTTGTCCTCCATGCTTTTCTGGTGAAAATATGGTAAAAAGTCTTTTTCATAGGTATGAACGTTACAGAAGTTCATGCACCTGCTTTTTGTTAAGTGCTGAAGCAATTCGGAAACTGTTCTTTGAATTCAGTTTAAATTCAGGCAACCAAGCTAAACCCTTATGCATGTCTTTACAGAATTTGGCTGTTCTTAAATGGAAGTTGGATGTTCACAGTGACAATACTGAACTGCTTTTATTTACTTGATGTATTTTTGTAAATTAGTAATTTCTTATCTTTTCCAGGGCCTGAGAAATGATCTGAAGGCTGCTTTGGATAAGATTGACCAGCAGTATCTGAACGAAATTGTAGGTGGCCAAGAAGCAGGAGACGATGACTCACAGAATGACTTGAAAGTCCATGAGGAGAATACTACTATTGAAGAACTAGAAGTATGTGATGATAGATTTTAATTAAGGGATTTTAGATGTAGTATATTGTTGTGAGAAAACTTCAGGATTGTTTAGACAAAGTTTTCTTGTTTTCAACATCTAACTTCGGCATTCTGAAGTATCCTTAGATATGCTCTTTTGGGAAATTAGGTTTCTAAGCCTTGAGTTGCACTATAGGTGCCTACAATAGACATTTGAAAACTCAAGTGGTCTTTGTTTACAGTGTCTCATCAAAAAGGGGGCAGGTGTTGCCTGCAAAGAAAGTGGTACAGTTAGGATTCCCTCTGCGGGGGGTTTGGAAGTAGAGAATTTAATAGAAATACATTGCCTGGTTGTAAATTCTAAAGCCCTTTCTATGAGTATTTGAGAGGGTAATGAGCTTAGTACTGATGAATTTTCCTTACACAAGAAAAATGGACTTTGAAAAATAGACACACAGAAAGAATGTTTGATATGAAAACATCCAGGACAAAGAAGTGGTGGAAGTCAGAAGTAGGCAGATCACAGAAAATATAGGTGCAGAAACAACGTGTCCCAAAACTACAGTGCAAATGACTATGATCACCACAGCATTTGTGTAAGTGAGCGGAGAATGAGTGCTGTCAAGTGCATTCAGCACCTGGTATTTTAGGGTAATGTTTTGGAAAGCACATGAACTCAGGCTGAAGATTTTTACACTTAATCTTCAAAACTCTTTGCAGAAGTTAATCTTCATATCATCCTTCCAAAAGTGTGTTTAAGAAATAATCTTGATTTATAACTGAAAGCTTAAATGAATACATTATTGTAAGGAGATAGTCTTTGGCTTTTTTTTTTAGGGTACCAAGGGTTCTGGTGTAAAATAGCTGTAGCACCAGAATGGATACCAGCTGTAATGGGGCCGCACTTACCAATCTGTTAATTTTCAAAATAGCCCCTTTTTGGGGCAGTAGGGCAGGCTTGGTTTGAGCCACGGAAATAATCTTTTTCTGAAAGTTTGGAAACACCTCAGTCTTAATTTTATGCTACTTTAACTGCATTCTATTGAGTGTAAGGGCTTGCACTGAATTTGGTTCTAAATCTAGGAGATTTTTTTAACCAAAACTCACTTTGCAAATGTGAGGACAATGGAAATAAATTATCAATCCAACTATACCTACCGGAAAATGTTTCTAAAAAATGATGTTAGTATTAACAGTTTTGAGGTTTAGGCAGGAAGCTAGAGTTACTGGAGAATACTATTGGGTTTTTTGGTGTGTGGTGTGTGTTTTTTTTAGATTTGTTCCCTCAAATTCAGAGTTACAATTAAAAAAATGGTAAAAAGCCCCAGTACCTCAGAGAATTGAAATAGCTTAACAAAGTAATTAGTTGATGGCTTTGGGGATCTCAAAAATGCGGTGCACCCACAGTTCCCCTTAATACAGTGCTGAGAGACAGCTGCTAATTATCCCAATAATTTAGTAGTTAATGAATGAAAAATTCCTGTTGCATTGACTTTTCAGAAATAATCATACTGGCTTTTTGTTTTAAATGTTTTTAATAGATTAATGAATCTCAGTAGCATATATAGCTGTTTCATTCTGTTTCCTAACCAGTGTTTTGGATTTCTGGTGGAGTTTATTACAGTTCACGATGCAGTGAATCATACTCTGCTGTGGTGGTGGTGGCAAACTTCTAGACAGTGTGGAAATAATTGCCTTTTTTTGCCTGTTCTAGGCTTTGGGAGAATCCTTAGGACGGGGTGATGATCACTATGATATGGACATCATAACGAAGTTCTTGAAGGTAACAAACAAAGAAGATTAATTATTCTGTAGCTATGTAATATTTTTTATTATCGTGTAGATAGATTTTGTGAACAGAAGGGATGATTTCAGCTGCTTGGAGAGAAAAACTCACACATTATGCTTAAGATGTGTTTGTTTGGGTTTTTTTTTAATCCTTGGAACTCCACAGCCTTAGTTAGTCACAGTCGTGACTTCTGCTAGACCTTGAAACAAGCTGTTGGGAGAGCAGCTTTCTTCAAAATCTGGTCCTACTTTTCCAGACAAAATGAATATGGTTTTGATTTCCGTGTGATAATTGAGGCAGTTGTATATAGTTGCTTCTATGTACTACTATGGCATTAAAAACTTCCGAGGAGTCGCTGCCTCCCTCCCCCAGGAGCAGTGGAAGCTGAAATGAAATGTCACCTGGTACTGTTATGTGAAATAAGAGAATTTTAAAGGAAGTCTGCTGGCTTTGCTGAGGAAACAGGTTCAAGTGGATGGTAGAAAATTGTTTCCTGGCAAGAAGGCTGTATTGCCTCTCATTTGAGTCAGATGGATCCTGTGTAACTATTGTGATGATCAGAAGTCACAGCAAGAGTCAAAGCTTTCATTTGTGTGTATCAGATACGCTGGCAGTTTTAATATAGTTTGGGTTGGGTAGTCAGACAAAGAAAGCTCAAAAATTGTTTTCCAGGTGGAGAGAATGTACATTTGACATGTTTGCTTTCTGTTGTGTTGAATTTTCACTGTTATCTTTACTGTTCCTTAGGCTCCTTCTCAAAAGCTTATAATAGGAGGGTTGTTCATATTCCTGCTTGCCTATCCCTGTGAAGGAGGCTTCCTGCCTTTTTAATAGAGATTTCTCAAAAAACCTAATTTTGCCATGGTGGCTTAAACCACTGTTCCCATCTGTTTTGCCGAGGAAGTCACTAGATGGCACTACGACATAAATTTGCTTGTTCCTTATCCAGTTTCTTCTTGGAGTTTGGGCTAAGGAGCTGAATGCCAGAGAAGACTATGTGAAACGGGGAGTACAGGGGAAGCTGAACAGTGCCACTCAAAAGCAGACAGAATCGTACCTGAGACCACTTTTCAGAAAACTTCGGAAAAGGGTGAATCTCTTTAAATGTCACTATTCTGTAGGACTTATTTTAACTTCTGCTTTCAAAGTACCCAGTGGTTAGTGCCCTTTCCTAAGATAATGTTATCTTCGCTGAAGAAGAGAGGATAAGTGAATTGGCCAGAGTTTCTGTGTCTAGAGCCCATGACTCCCAGTTCTGACCTTTTTATCTTGACCAGTGTATTCTTCTGCCTACCCACTTGCTTTTCCAGGTGTTGCTTTACGTATCACCTGTTTGCTGGGTTGCAGATATGATAGAGAACTGGGATTGTATTTTGCACTTTGCCATGAGCTACTAGGTGTAACCACTTAACCTCTGTTTCTTCAGATCCTTCATCTAAATAACCAAGATGTTTTCCTTTGTTAAAGTCCTCAAGCTAGGGTAGGTGCTAAACTTTGTATAAATGCTGAGTAGGATGGTTTTCCTGAGCTCTGAAGTAAAGATGTTGTCTTTTTTTTTTTCCCTTTCTTTTCCTGTAGACACTTCCTGCAGACATCAAAGAATCAATAACAGATATTATTAAATTCATGTTGCAAAGAGAGTATGTGAAGGTATGTTTGTTTGCACTCTGCTAGCATGCACAGGCTGTCTGGTTCTAATAGATTGAGTTTATTGCTTCAACATTTCCCATTTTTTTGCATTTTGAAGATACATAGCTGGAAATACACACAACATATATTCAAAACAAAATAAAAAATGGCCGTTAAAGGTTAGGCTCCAGGTAGTGTTTGATCCACAGCCTGTCAGAAGATCTTTTTGAGGCTGGTGAAATGGCGGAGCTTTGCAAGCATGAATAGAATTTTTCTCAGAGATGGTTATATTAAGTTGCAGAAGAATCCTGTATGGGTAACCTGATATTGTAAGGTTAAATTAAGGTATTGAATTAATAGGGTGTTAATTAATTCATTAGGAATTAACTGAGTTGAACTGAGTTACTGAATATGAGACACTGTCCCTTTCTTCGGCTATGCTAACATTAGTTGGCCTGGTAAGGTTGAGGTAAGTTAATGCAAGTTTTTTGGATAAAGTCTGCTTACTGGAGGAGGCAGAACTACTTTGACACACAAGATCAAAGGCAGTGTTAGGTTTTGTTTGTAGCTGCCTTCAGAAGTGGAACTCAAATACCGATAGCATTTGCTTAAGCAGCTGTGTATGCAGAGGAAATTGAGCTGTGTTTTTGCCTTCAAATTTCTAGTACTCCTTATTATTTTTATGAGGACTTAGATAATTTGTCAAGTAAGCAAGCAAACCTGCTTTTGGTATTGAAAAAACTGTACGTGGCCTAAAGCTAGCTTAATCCAAATCATTTGAAAGCAGAACTGAAAGTGTGGGGTGTATCATAGTGGGGTTTCGTTTTAGGGCACTTTTTTCTTTTGGTTGTCATCATTATGTTGAAATTCCTTTTCCGATGGCTTCTCAAACAAAGTAATGAGCATGCGGGAATGTGGTGTATCTCCTGGGTTAGTCAGCTGCGCTCCTCTCTGCTGGAGGTGCTTGGCTTTATGTAAACTCACAGACTGATTTTTGGAGGAGTTGAGTACGCATTCGGAAGTTTGGGTTTTGTTTTTTTAATTAGGTTAAAGAGCCTTGTGCTTTTAAATCTACTCATATCATTTTCCATTTTGCTTCCTAAGAGACTTGTGTCTTTCTGCCTCCTGTTGTCTTCTGTGCTTTTTTGCTTTGTGCAGCCTAGTGAATACTGGCAGCCACAAATTCTTACTGCTTTGTTAGATGGAATGCTGGAAAGATTTAAATTTTGAAATCAACATGTGACAGTAGGCAAATGCCAGAATCCCAAGTTGTCTGCTCAAGCTTAATTAACCCTGTTGTAACGTCCTGGAAGGGTATTTAATTGCATGCTCACATATTATGTTTCATCACAAAACCATATTTAAATCAGTAAGTAGGTATTTGACTAAGACTGTTCAGATTCTGCCTGCTGTAGGCAAAGTCAAAGTCAGGTCCCTTTTTCAGGTTTGCTCTCAGCTTTGTCTGCAACCCCCTGCCTTGTTCATTATTCACCTCCCAGTTTGCTCAGTGCCAAATGGGAAGAAACTGCACCCACTGGTCATGATTGCTACTTCATATTGTTTAGTCTCTAAATAGGAGGTGATAAATGAACTCTATCAGTGAGTCTTGTAGCTTCTCGCTAATAGTGGAAGAATGTCCTGCTCCACATCCTTCTTGAAGCTGTTTCTCTAATTGCATGTATGTGTGTGTCCCCCTCACTTCCTGGTTCTCAGTTGTCATGTCTTTTTTTAAGCTCCGTTCTTCTCTTTCTGTCTATTAATTTTCCCTTCAAGTTCTATCCCTGTTCTTCCCCAGTGACGTTGTCTGCTACAGCTTTGTGCTAAGAAAGGGTGTCTGCTATCTTGATTGGGAAATCTCAGATTCATTTACTGCTGTTACTGCTCTCTTCATAGATACTGTTACAAATGTGCTTATTTAACCCAGTTTTGTCAAGAGCTGGTTCTCAGCCTCTTTGGAAGCTAGCTGCTCTCTCCAAGAGTTGTCAGGCTCCAGTGCGCTCCTGTGTACCGGCTGACCTCAGTTCTGCACACACAGTGTCAGCCTGCAGTGGCCTGCACTTACAGACCGGCTCCCTGGTCTAGTCTGCAACCGAAATGACAAGGGTTGTAAAGGTGATTACAGGCAAAAGTTTATGGGAACCTGAGAAGGTTGAGTTGAAAATAGTCCCAGTAAACTTCAGTTTTAATCAATATTAGACTGCCTTATCCAGTGCTTTCTTTCATTGCCCTATAGGTAAAGTCCATAGTCCTCGCTTCCCTCAGAGTTCAGCATAAACATCGATCGTGTTAGGAAGGTGTGTTGTAAAATTGGTTAATGTTGTGCAATGAAACCTGATTCAGAGAGACTGGAATCTGTGGTGGTGTTGTATCTGGCAATGCAAAACTGCTCTGCTTTCTGATGCCTTTTCTGTTTTGCTATGTGTGCACATGCTGTATTCCTTCAGGCAAATGATGCCTATCTTCAGATGGCTATTGGAAACGCTCCCTGGCCTATTGGTGTCACTATGGTTGGCATCCACGCTCGAACCGGTCGTGAAAAGATTTTCTCCAAGCACGTAGCCCACGTTCTCAACGATGAAACTCAAAGGAAGTATATTCAGGTAATGTTAGCTTTGGAAATCCAACAGATTTGTTCTTGAAGTTAGGGGATCTTTGAGAAATACGGGATTCATAGTTACAGGTGATGTGGTAAGAAGGTCCTAGCTGTGGACAGTTGCCTTAGCTGGCTCAAGCATTTAATAGGTAGCTCATCCCGAACCTGAAAGCTCTTCAGTGCTGGGCTAGGAACAGAGTCTAATGGATTTCCCTGCGTCTTAACTATTGTGATCCTGTATGAACACCAAAGTAGCTGTGCAGACACGCTTTATTCTCCTGAGTTCCTTCACTGCTTAACTCAGTTTTAACATCATGTGTGGAATTTAATACTGTGGAATACAGTCCTTCTGACTATTTCTGCAACTAGGTAAATTTTTCAAACATGTTTCTTTAACAGTGTGGGCTCAAAATTCCAGGTTCAGTTCCTCGTGTGCATATTCAGACTCATGTCATGAACTTCTGTTGTTTGTGGAATTAATAGCTGTGGTGTTTTTCTTCTCTGATGTTTCAGTGTATTGGGTGGATGAGTCTGAGGAAACAAGTCATCTCTCCTTGTATTGTTAAATGTTAAATGTATTTGCCTCTTGCCAGTTGCTGTTTCATAAGCCTTCTGGCTTAACTCTGAAGCATCCAGAGCAGCATCGTGGAGCTTGGAGCTTCTGGCAGGATCTTGCTGCTGCAGCAGCAGGATTCTTGTTGCTTTTCAACTTCTACAGATGTCTGCAAGCAGATTGGTTGTAAAATGCAACTTCTCCTTCTACCTTGAGCCTCTTTGTACTGGGGCTACAAGTATAACCTTTGGTTCCTGTTCAACTATAGTTTTTACTATCATAACCTGTGAAAATATCATGGTGAAGTCAGAGGAAGCTCTAGATACTGGAAGAGCCAACAAATTAAATTTGACCAATTCTTTTCTAAGGTTAAAATTGGCATGTGGATTACGCATCTTCAGAGACAGACTCCAGTTAGTGTAATACTTGCTTGGAAGTATGTAATGGATGAAATAGCTTGTGTTAAACCAGTTTTGTTGTTAGTCTGTGTTAAAAAAGGAATTTGGACTCTGAAGGAAGATTGTTGTGGGCCTCAACAGGGACATAATGCTTATTCTCCAACTTTGATGAACAATTGCCCATCTGTGTCCATTTGCCACTCTTCTAGCAGGAAGATCTCTACTCTGTAGTGATGCTTGATGTCTCTTCATGTGCCCTTTGGAAGATACAATGTATATGAATTCCTTAGTTTGTCATAGAATCATAGAATCTTTGGGTTGGAAGGCACCTTTAGAGGCCATCTAGTCCAACCCCCGGCCATGAGCAGGGACATCTGCAACCAGCCAACGTTGCTCAGAGCACAGTCAACACGGCACTG